TTTATTTCAACAATCAGATTTTATGTGTTAAGATAATTTTAAATGTTTCATTCTAGTAGAATTGTTAATAAACGAAGAGGAATTCATTCCTATGCAATGATAGTGCATGGATTGCAACTTTTTTATAAACATTGTGCAATTCTTGGCATATTAATATTGCTACGAATATAATGGTAAATTGTAACTCAATGAAACAATTGATAACTATCTAAGATACATTCATTTCATATGGAAAAGGAACTTGAATCTATTTCCTAAATTTAATAAGAAACTTCTAGTATCATAAACGCATATAAACATAATGCTCTGGAGATTTCAACGCCTCGATCGAAAGAAGTTTTTTCCGCTTGAATTAATAAATATATAATAAAATATTTTTAAACCAATAAAATATTTTTAAACCAATTTCTTGTACTGTTAACATAATATTATTTTTAAATACGAATGAAGATGAACAATATTGAAATATAACTATATGTAAGTAGCATTTTGGCTTAAGGAATATTTAATTTAATTTTTTAATTTGATTATAATCAAATTAATCTATAAGAATTGAGATTCAACTATTTTGGTGAAATTGGTTCAAATGATTATTTTAAAAATAATATTCTTGCTTTTAATAAAAAATTATCAAAAACAATTTCCAATTGATGTCTCGTTAAACATATTTATAATATCTGTATGCATTAAATTATTTTTAAAAAAAATAAATATTCAATTTCATTTATGTAGGGGTTCTAAGATGTATTTTTCAAGTGTGAAAGTAAACTGTAATCAGTAGTGCCTAGGAAACAAAACGTTCATATGTTCCGGCGTAGATTCTGATTAGAATCCAATAAGAGCGGGGCGCCATTCCAAATTTTGGTGAATTTTTATAATACAACCGCTTATCGTAGTCCTATAATATTTTAGTATGTAGTTTCAGACTACGAATTTTATCGTTATAAAAAGTTTCAGCAAAATTGGCAAAAAAATCGATAATTAAAATCACAAAGAGACGGCTTTGCTGATCATCGCAACAAAATTGACAAACGCTAGTTCTTTATCGAGATACATGGAATGGCTTTTAAATTTTTGAAATCGGTCCAGCCGATTTTGAGAAAATGTCAACAAAATGCAACATGGCAAAACGCTCATCAAATTTTGTCTAATTCGATCAAAAAAAAGAGAAAACATCTAGAAAATTAGTAAATCGGATTTTTCGCGAAAGCAAACTCCTTCAAAAAGTTAAAAATGGCAAAACCAACTGTGTCCAAAATGTCACATCTTTTATACATTGAACGTTTCTATTACATGCTTATTACGACATTGTCATAAGACAATTCATTGATTATCCTTGCTCTTGGAGACATAATTTTCATTTTAATGGACATATATAAAATCAACAAGCATCGACTCACCAAATTCGGATTGCGTTGTATTCCTAATCGAACCTTGCAATATTTCTTCATCAAAACCCTCCAAACAACGTAAGCCATTTCAGGATAACTTGTTGCACGTGTTCAAAACAAAGTTGACACTTATTACATTATCCTTGTTAACAATCACATCACCGAACAACAACATAGGACTGTTGTTCATTATCTAACAAGTGGAAAATTGGCACTTCACATACCTAAGCACTGGGAAAAACGTAACAAACATTTGAAAATGTCTTAATTGTATTTTCACAGTAACTTTACGGTTTTAAGTTAACCATTTTTCATGTTTCAGTTGATGTTATGTTCCGTAACGTGCGCGTATGTGACAGCCGAACGCTGCGGCGTCGAGTGGACTGCCGACCGACCGCCGACCGACCGCCGGCAGTTGCCGAACGCGCCGCCGGTGTCGGCGGACAGGTACGGGCGAAGGAGGCGGCCGAACTCCGCACGACCGATTATGACTCACGAAATAATTGATCATTTTAAGTAAACACGTGAACACGGACGAGCACTTCGTTTTTATTCATCATCATATTATTTTATAAGATTTTTTATACGATATATTTTGTATAATTGGTGATGGTATGGGAGATTATGCAAAATATCTATTCGCATATATCATATTTTATTCTTACTCTTGAGTAAATAATTTCGCAAGAGTAAGAGTAACCTTTGATTAGAGTAAGAGTAAAATTTGATAAGAGGAAAATTAAAATTTCCCAAGATTTTATAAGAGCAAGAGTAAAATTCTATAAGAGTAGTAGTAAAATACTTAATAAGAGTTTTATTTATTTATTTATTTATTCATAAGCAAGCCGTAATCAATAATAATAGATATTATTTCAGGCTTTTGTCAAGCTTATTCATAGTTATTATTAAAAGGATAGTAATTTTATAATAATCATAGTAGCTGCACGAATTTCGCTTCTGAAAAAAAGAGCTGAAAAAAAGCATTCGAACATTAAATACAATGTTTATCATCAAGTTTATCATATTAAAGTCTATTTGACCACCAGTCACGCTCAAAATTCTTGCACAAGGTTGAAAGTTATACTCATTTAAAACCGTAAAAAATTTTAAATTAATAAAATAGCAATAAAAAAAATTAAAAAAAACATGGTTGTACAGGCGATCAAATGGTCAGACTACATAGATAAAAGATAAGGATTATGCAAGAAAATAGTTATTGAAATCAAATTGAGAAAATTCAGTAATGTCATAAAAAAGCTAATTCTTTAAAAAGTTTAACTAGGAAAATTAAAATAATATATGCTATAATAAACTATAATAAACTAAAAGTAAGCAATTTAAACCAAGTTTGGGTTTTAGGGTGCGCAACATGAAGCATGTTCCAGATAAAGTTGATGATAGTGAGATAGAGATATGATCAGACCACTTGAAATTGTTATTAATGTGGATACCAAGAAACTTTGATACTTGCGAAAAATTATATGCTGAATTATTGATGGTTAAAGAAGTAATATTATTGGATAAACGATTTTTTGTACAAAAAGATATGATTTGGGTCTTATCATTATTGAGGACTAGATTATTTTCACAAAACCATTTCGTTATTTCTGACATAACCAGAAATAACGAAATGGTTTTGTGAAAATAATTTAGTCCTCAATAATGATAAGACCCAAAACATCAAGTTATTAAGAATAATACTTATTAAGAATAATATCCTTTCGTCAAGCTCATTTGTATGACTTAAAGAACTGCCTGTATATATTTATTACACGTACAGCATGGACGGAATAATAATCGATTCTAATTAACAATCTATTTTGTTCGAAGTAGGCCTGAACCGATTGACTCACTGACACTGATTTGTTAAATAAATAAGAAATCAGCAAACGACAACTAATAATAAATATAAGCGTGATATTGATAAAAACAATAAAATAAATAGAGAATAAAAAAGTTAAATCAATTATAAATGAATCCACCCAGGTTTATTATAATATTCCATATATTCAGAGATCATTCTGGCGATTGGGATAAACCTACTGGACCTCACAAAATAGTGTGTTTGGGAAAAAGCTGCAATAATATCACCAATAAAGTAATATATTTTTCGTCAAATGTGTGCATATAATTTTTTGCCTAGGATTCTCAAATTATTCTCAAATTTTAGAAGTATTTCTCGCTTTTAGTCTACGCACATCTAGATACAAGGTTATGAAAAGGACATGTTTAAATTATTTCGTTATAATGTCTACTAGCAAGATAAAATTATATCATTTATCATTTATCTTACCTCGTAGCAGCTAGCGGAGCGCTTCATCCTGGACACAAGAGTTCCGCACGCCCTGATGGTGGCCGCAGAGCACTGCATGGGACACGAGCACAAATACATATTTTATTAAACATCCAAATCAATAACACTGTTATATGAAAATTCGATCGATCGATGTGAATTTCGCGATCGGTTTGTTCTAACTAAACTGAAGCGGGGTCAAGTACTCCGCATGACTCCCACAATTCGACATTTCACCAGGGGAATTCGATCATCAGCAACCAGAGCACGTGCGTTTTAACATTTTAAAAATGTGTATGCAACACAATCAGTGTGACATACATGTCCCCGACAAGATTTACCGTTTAACACTAAACTCGAGTAGATTTTTGCGGAACTTCAGCAATGCAACATCATTCATATCGCGGTACCTTATCGCAAATAAATTCTTTTGGCAATCGTGATGAAAATTCTTCAGGCGACCGATTAAAATCGACGAAGAATTAAAACACACCAGTTTTATTCAAGCGCACGTCCAAATTGTTTTAATTTCAATGCAACATAATAGGCCCCGTTTTCATACCCACTTCGACGACATCACATGTTTATATTTTGTTTACGTTTTGCATCACATATGTATTTTATAACATTGACAAAAGCAGCATACTGCTATTCAATGCAATATCATAAAAAACTAGGTGTAAGTTGCATTTTGTAAAATACAATCGACTGAATCAACTCTGTTTACAAAATTTTCAACTATTCAATGCAATTACCAATTGTATACAACAAAACTTCAAAACATCTGTAATCGTGTTAATTTAAAATAATTGCAATTGATTTGAAATATTGAAAAAAAAAATAGCAAATCAGATTTTATGACAATAAATTTCTCCTTTGGGAAGTGAAAACTAAACCCATTTATAAAACCAATTGAAGTCTAAATTTGTATTTGTATTCGCGCTAAAATTTATTACTAAAAGTGTGATTTTTAATGGGGAATGTAGGTGTTAAAATAAAACCACAATTAAGATCAAATAGTAAATTTGTTTCTTTAAAGAACCAACAATAGACAATATCTGTTACAAGCAAGAGGTCACTTAGTGTTCTCAAATGCACACAGATCTTTTCAAATTTTAAAATCCTAATTATTTCTAAAGATTGTAATTAACAGATTCATTTAATAACTCTGTTAAATATTCTGATAGAACAACAAGTTAAATGTAAAATGCAATTATAGCAATAAATTTGAAAGATGGAATCGATATATTAAATCAAAATGTAATATAAATGAAACTATAATATAAAAAAGTTTTTTTTACCGTTATTCATTGTGTCCTAGGTACGGTTGAATAAATCATGAAAAAATGCATAAATGTTTTATATTTGAAAGAATTCATATTAATTATTATTTGCTATCTAATTACATTATAGTAGTTATCACTGGGTCATGAGTTTCAGTCCATGTTACATACAATATCCTTGTTTACAAATTCTTTTTTGGCAAAATATTGCAAATTCCGATCAATGATAACTGTTTAAACCAAAAAAAACAGTTCAGAAATGGAATGTTAGAAACCAGACTACATTCTATTCGCCTATTGTCACATAAGACTAGTTCTAATACGTACAATTGCCAATTTCCACCTCGTCTTTCACAAAACTAAATTATATTGCAAACATATCAAAATATTTGCTTACAATATAAACTAAGAATTACCTCTATACAGATTATAAAATTGCCTATAATTATTATAAGTATAGATATTTAAAAAAAAACTACTTAAAATAAAGAAAACTTAAGCACCACTTTTGTTTACAAAGTAAAAAACATTTATCAGAAACATACAATAAAGATTCTAATATAGAATCATATAAATAACATTCATACTGCATTCAAATAATCATTCTATAAAAAATTAAGTTGCATTTAAGTTAATATTCTGTAAAAGAGAGGTTTGACCCTAAACAAGTTCGATACTCATGACGATTCACTCTTTTTCAGGAAGTAAAAACATGGACACTTTACCACAACTAGATGAAAAATATATTTATATATGTATATGTCTTTGTATAAGATAAAATTTTCATTTCTAGTTCATTATACCTAGCACCGTCCATTTAGAATGAACAATAGAAGAGCATTTTGTTAAATTTTTAAGTTATAATATAAATTTCGATTCGTAAATTTCAATATGCCTAAAAATTAATTTCAAATTAGATTTAATTGGTATATTTGTGCCTTAGCCTTAGCAATTAGGTACAACCAGACAATTTAGCACCAGTTTGATAAATGTCTGAAATGTACTTGGCTGTGTATGCAAATTTTAGGAATATTTAAAATGTCATGCAACATTAGGTACATATCGATCTTTCATTTAAAATAAGATGCAATATTTCGATTTACTTGAGAATTGTTATACTTATTAGATAACACAAATATATCAATAAATATAAAAACAGTTTTGCCTAATAAAATATATGCTAAACGTACAAATATATAATACAAATAAACTAGAAATAAATTATTATGTGCATGATTAATCGAGCGAATAACTTAGTATGATATAAACAAATAAATAAATTTTCTTCTGTACAAGTGCAGATTATGATTAAAAAGAAATTGTCCTACAGTCATGAAAAGATCCATTATGTCATGTTGACACCTAAGGCTCGACTGGAGTATTCATATACCACATAACTGATGGACACAGCCGGCATCACTTTTATGAAATTTGGCGTGATACCTCGATACAGGCCAAGCGGACCCTCTTTCTGAAGTATTGTTTTAACCATCCCCGACATTGTGCCAGATTCAGGAGTAGGCGTTACTAAAGTGATCAAACAAATCATAAACATGATAAAAGTAAAAACATAATAAGAAAAATCAATTTTGTATTTACCTTGTGCTTGTAGCCTCGTCCTAACCAAAGCTAGTGGATATGAACAAACTTGTCCTAGTGTACAAGAAGCTGACCCACATGCTAATAGTAACCAAAAGTTAGGTTCTTCATTTAATGAATGAGTCTTAAGGTATTTCTTTTTTAGTGTCTCGTAAACCGCCAAGTCAATTCCCGCATATGGAATTATTCCTAACATATTTGGAACATACCTAAAATAGAAAATATAAATTATAATGGTAAAAATAAAATAATATATAATTAATAAAATAATGGGAAGGATTCACTCTTCAAATTTAGAGAAGGGTGCTAGGTGTATAATGATGTACTTGCTCATCATTTTCGTTATTCGATTCAATTTGAATTAAAGAAGAGAAAAACTATCGAGAGTTTCTTTTAGAATTCATTATATGAAAGAGCAAAGAAGAGAGCAAGAGTTCTCTTTCAAATATAGCTAATAAAAATATTTTGTAAATAAGTAGGTAATGAATATTTTTAATTTAGATGTATAATATATACGACGAATTAATTTCATATAAACCTTTTGATCTAAAGAACTTGCTTCCAGAAAATATATATTAACAATATCGCAATTTGTAATTAAGATCTATCTTACCCCCTATAGAAACTTTTGAGTCCTTCCCTGGCGAATATTTTCTTGGCGGCATCTACGATTCCCGCATATTGTCCCGTTGTTCGGAGCGCCAGCCGCGTTTTTAAAACCTCTAAAGGATAAATAGCAGTCTGGCTGATGCAACCTGCTGTCGCTCCTGCAACAAATCGCTCTCCAATGCCCATAACTCGCGTGCTGTTGCCCTCACCGCGTAAAATACGTTTCACCTAGGGAAAAAATCAGATTGAAAATAGTATTAAATACGAAACTAGCAAATTAGATTTATAAATTTAAATCTTAGAAATACCTTTTCGTATGCTGCGAATTTGATTGCAGATTCCGGTGCAATTTTGAGAACATTTATACCATTTCCTCTCCACAGCCCGGTCATACCTCCTTCCTTCATCATGCATCGATAGCAATCCATTATTCGAAGCTGCTGTGTTTGAACCTGCAATAGGAAATAAAATATCACCACTGGGCCAGAACCAACTTATAGCAGTATATAGAAGAAGAATTATTAATAATAACAATATAGTATTCGTAGATCCAATTATCCCTTACCTGAAGGAATACTTTTATCCTGTCCAGGGGAGCGGTGCACGTCCTGGACACGGCGCCGGCGACTCCGCCAGCAACGAGGTGCCGCCACCATTTCCCCGTCTGCATCTCCGATTGTGTGAAATCGTCCGGCACGTTGAGGTCCTCACCGATATCCAAATACTGGCGAAAGAAAGTATCGATCAGTTACACACAATCAAGAGGAATTATGTTTTAGTATAATAGATACTATAGTATTTAAAAATTCGTCTAGATATCATACACTATTACCCCATATACAGCCTAATTCGATATTTCGTCCTCTGTCGATTACGAAACTCGAACGTTTGTAAGACATCGTGTTAAAAATTATTTAATCCGCTTTTTTAGGTCTATAATTGCTACCGGTAAATTTTTAGCAAATTTCCCATTATCCAATATATACTTTTGGGTATTTTTGAATAAATTCATATGATTATCCGATTTTTTTAAATCATTTTTTTATTTTTTTTAAATGTTGACGTTTGATGAGAAGGAGGCTCTGGAATAATAATTTACTTAATAAACTTGTAATTTTTAGTTAGTCAGTTTTTTAATTAACTAGTCAGTTCAACATTTCAACAAATAAATATGATAATCAATAATATTAAAATATGATACATATTTCTATTTAGACATGAAGCAGTAATATGTATCCATGTATCCTCTATCTTCTGCTCGTTAACTTCACCATTTACAATTTCAAAAAAATAAGGAAGTAATCACCTATTAGCTTTCCCTAAAGCCGAACAAACAAGCATGTATAGTCTACGACATTTCTATAGTCTCCTACATTCGTATTTAGACCAAGAATAGTAAAGTAAATCGTCTGTTGTTTTCTGTTCGATTCGCGGAAAGTTTTCGCACAGTTTTATGCCGGTGGTCCCATCAAATTCCGCCGACCTCACTTGATCAACCCAGAGCTCACAATTTCCGTTACCAGTTTATTCCAAGGGCGGCCTTGAACTTTCGCACGATGTTAATAAAAGTCACATCACTAAATGGCATTCCGTGCAACAAATGAACCACCACTGACCGAAGTTTCAAGAAGATTAAGCACGTAATCTAATTAGATATTGTATTAATACAATAAAGTCCCATTACGGAGGTAAATATTTTCGAATCTAATGGCTTCTGTTAAGCAAATTAGCGTAGAGTTTGTTTAGTAAATTGCACACTATTAGATACACGTTATTTGCAAAATGGTAACGGGGAAGGTACGTAGATATCGACTCATCTTAAGCTTGTAAACAAATTAGATGAAGAACATTGTTGTAGAAATAATTATTTATACTGAATTATAATATGTCTTATTACACATAAATATTTACAAACTGTTCACGAAGGAAACCAATGGTTATCTTCGTAGTTGTGATAACCTAGTTTGTGTTTTTTCACTTGGATCTATATTTCTAAGTGGAAATGGATTAGAGTGGACACTACTGCTCGATATAAATCTGTCCGACAAAAATTAGAATCTGAAACTTTGTGGTTGCAAGTCACAGCTTTTTACCACTAAAAACGAGCTCGACATGCAAAAAAATGCAAAGATTTTTTCATTATTTAAATTGAATTAATCTTGATATATGTATAATGGAAAAAAATGTAACCAAGTATCATATCTATGTACGTATTCATTTTGAATTCAACAGAAAATTGATTTAGTTTTATTCTAATTTAAAATAAATTTAAGCTGTAAATTTTACATTAACGTTATAATTACATTATAATTACATTTCGTTTAATTATAAAAACATTACATATATTTTTTTTGCATTTAACCAGATATCAAAGATCATTACATTAGAAATATAGGCAAAATATTATCGCAGTTATGTTTTTATTATAGATTATTAATTTACCTAAAGTTTTTTGTGTAAATATTAATTATTAATAATTTTGTTTGAAATACTTTACTTAACCGAAGAAGTATGGATAATCTACAGAAAATTGATATAATGTTTATTCAAATAAAAATAAGTTCAATAGGCCAACTATTTTTGGTTTAATTATAAAAAAAACATATTTCTTACATTATAAACCATGTATCACAAATATCAAAAATAATTTTCCATTAAATAAATTGTTATTCGCACTAATTTACTAATAAATTTATATTTTACCTTTACGAAGAAGTCTAAATAAAAATCCATATCTAACGTATCCATTTTGAATTCAACAGAAAATTTATTCAGTTCTTTTATTATATGAACCAGCCAACTATTTTACTGTATATCTTATATTCCTAAATTATTTAACTATATCACAATTATTCTACACACTAATTTTAAAATGATATGTTACGTATTTGTTCCACTTTGTATTCAATTACAATTTACTACTATTTGATTACATATATTTAAATAAAAAATATAGACAAAACTTAGTCAATTTATATATCACAGTACTTGAAGTCACTTGCATAGAGATAAACTATATATTACTTTTGAGGTTAATATTGCATAACCAACGGCAATTCACGATATAAAATTACAATAGAAAAGACAATGCGTGTAGAAAAATATAATGTTACATATGTCTTGTATAAAAATTAAATTATCGATAAATCTCATGACACGAGGAGCGTGTGGAACGCCATTGTCAGCCGGTACGATCGTCGGACTGAATTTCCTGATACACTTTGTACTGTGTAAATTGGATTAAAATGTATTATTGTAAAAATCTCCAGACGTAATATTATAGAATGTGAAAAGCGAACTGTGCTTGTCCCTTTTATCTTCGTTAAGTGCACATGTAGGAAGCCTACCTTCCATTCTATATATATAAAATTTCCATGGCACATGCGCCGAACGGACCGATTTTCAGACAACAGAAATGGCACTCGGAAGGGCGAGACGGAAACTTGGCTAACAAGTAACAGTAAGTAGTTCAGGAGGATTATTTTGATGAGCTTTGAAACAATCCTTAGAAATATTAGTACCAAAGTTATAAAAGATATTTTAGTTATGTAACGGCCTATGTGGAAGACAACCTCGTATATCACAAATTCATCGCTGATTGACCCCAGGAAAATGCGGGTCCACGATAGTAGAAATAAACGTAACATCTAAATATCTATTAATGTTCTTAATTTTTTACTAACTCTAATTGAAAGTCATATACAATATTTATGAATAGACCTTAAAAGTAAAAAAAATATAGTAATTTTTATAAGGTGATCATAATCGGGGACATTGACCGGGACAGTTCCGGATTTCACCTTGTGTCCCGGGTTCTTCTAAAAGCAATATTTGTCCCGGATTATCGAAAATTACTTGATAATAAATTACAACTACCCATCAAATATCTGAAAATGTTATATAAAACGTTTATGCTTATATCATAACTATAAATTAATAAATCGAACTTATTGAGTGCCTAGCCTAAGTGCAATTTTTCAAAATAATTATATAGAGAATAGAGAAAATTGAAGAATTGATGAATAAAAGCGAGAAAAGCATAGATCCAAAAATATAGCACATAAACGAGTGAGAGTTTTTACTAAAAGTCAGTAATTTTAATAAAATAAATGATTTATTCAAAAAAATAAAATTTAGCATCACCCCATTCTCCTCATGGATTGGAAAGACTAAAATTTAGCGTCACGATTTTGACTTTAAAAAATATGGCCACCTTAATTTTTATAAAAATGTGCAAGTTCTAGCACATAGGCATTCTATTAGAGGTCACAATATGTTTCAACTTGAAAATACCCTAAATTTTAAGGTTGGCTGTTGAAAAGTTTATGCTTGTCAAAAGATTTTAAGACTATTTTGAATGAAGTTTGATTTAACTTATATTCTGTAAAAAAATGTTCGAGTCTTTAAATTTTACTATTTTATTTAGTAGTTACTAAATACTTAAGTTAAAAAAAATGAATAACTTAATATATGTGAATCTTGAATAAAATAAATATCATGTGAATATACCATATTTATTCGAGCGAATAAATGTCTAAAAATAATTGAAAATAAAGTTTCTGAATAAAAATTAATAAATTAATGTTATAATATAATGACTACCATTTTTATATTCACAAGGCAATTAAATTAGCAGTTTTGCATAGAATATCAAGTTTTAACATTTTGTAATGATTTATTTATTTATATCAATCAAAACTATCGAAATCTTGAGATAAAACAGTTCAGTATAAATCATAGAGAAATTAAACAAACATAATAAATGTAATATAAGGAAAACATCAAAATTAGGTAAAAAGTAGTAACAAGTGACAAATAGATAAATAAGAAGTAATGAACATAAATCTGCATTTCGTATATTGTACAATCCTTTACCCCGCAATTTATTTTAAATATTCTTTTAAAAAGTATTTCAAGCTATAACAAACACTGTATTATAAATATTCCATATTTGCATTTGTGAAGATAAACGAACTATGCAAAACAAGAAAATATTTGAATGTGCATTCAAATTTAATTATACTTCTGTATTATCTATAATAATAGAAAATATATGTCCTCGTAAAGAGAATTTTCATAAGAATAACCAGGTCATTCGGGTAATAGAAATCGGTAAAAGTCATCACTCAGTATTTCCATAAGAATAAAAGATACATTCAAAGCATTACATATATATATAGTTGATGTTGGCTTTGGTATTATCAGAGTTTAATAATCAGGCAATCATGATCCAACTAGAAGGTTCAAAAGAAAATGGCCAGAAGATCTACTAACTTAATTTAAGCTCTGTTATATTACTAACATAGATTATTCATTAACATAGATATATTTTATTAACATTGATTTATTTTATAAACATAGATTATCTACAGGGGAATCTCTTCAGTGGAAGATACCTCTAAATGTAATATTTAATGGATCACATAGACTCATAGAAAATTGTATTTCTGATTGTCTATAATAAATAAACAAAAAAAAAATAATAATAATCAGGCGAAACATCAATACAAAAAAAACATGATTTGATATTTTTTTATTCGATTGATTAAAATGCATTTAAGACGAGTTGCATTGAGTGTCGCATGTAGACAGCATTTAAATAAATATTTAGTATCGGTTTTGTCTTTTTGAAAACACATATTGTTGGATTCAATTACATGAAGCCGCACAACTCAAAACAATCACAAAACAAGAAATGATATCGGTTGCAGACATGAAATGCAC